TTATTAAAAAGATAAGTTTAAGTTAGCTAAAATAAAATTTTCTTAAAGCTTTAATCGTAGCTAAGAAAGTATTAGTTTTGTCATGGTGTGCGTTTTTCTTTATGGACAGCCATAAAAATTCTCAGTTCTCACTGGACCGATTTTAATGATCATTATATCAAAAGAATCCGATTTTAATCTAGCTGAACCATATTCGAGCCAAATATTAAAAAAAAATCCTTAATTTTAGAAAATAAAAAAAATGTATCAAAATTACGCTATTGTAAAAAGTAACACTTATTCAAAGGAGATTTTCACATAGTTTACTAGAGACACTAAGCTTTCTTTTGATATGCTTTTTCTGAAAATCCAATTAAAAAAATTATTACAGGATGGATTTAAAAAAGACCACCCACACATGTCAATTTTTTTTTCACATGATTTTTGAAAATGTAACAATTTAAAAAATTGTTCTACTACAGTACAAAAATTATCTCAAGATTTTTCTAGTAAAAAAAGTTGACCGAACAATTAGCAATTGTAAATATATGAATATACAAATTATTGTGAAGTATAACAGTTTTGGATTCAAGCGTTTGTTATGATAATAATGTTAATCACTATCAGATATCATTATACTTATCCCAACTATGACACGTCTCCCTTGAGTTGGGTTTTTGGTTTCGGTTATAATTTAGAAAATTGATTTAGTCTTTTGCAGGATTTGTTCCGGTGTACAAATCTGGCTTTAGTTTATTCTCGGTTTTAATTGAAAAAAAATTAAAATTTAAAAAACTTTATTACTTGATTGTTTTTGGTATTATAATATAAAAATAAAGCTAATACTTTATTATTAAATATTTCTGGTTACAGCAAGGTAATAGCTAAAAAAAAAATAGTATTTTTTTACTACTTTCATACAAATAGCTTGTATGTGTAATTTTAAATATGTGTTAGAAATACAATGATATGATTTATTTTTATGCATTTAATTAGTTTTTATTTTATTTTAAGCGTAATTTAGTTTGTTTTCTTTATAATAATTTATTTTAAAAAGTAATTTTTAACTTCGATGCGTGTCTGAGAATCTCTGTCCATATGAATACTTTGCTTTTACCGGACCGATTTTGTTTAGTGATATGTCAAAAAATATATATATAGCATCTAATTGAAGCTATCAGCGTCATAATTTGGAAAAATTTATTTCTATCCCTTTAATAAAGATAAATAACCCAAAAACACAATAAAACAATCAATATTAATTTCAGTTTTCACTTTATATTAAAATAATTTTTTGAAAAATAGATATTTCTTTACGAAATTTTATAAACAATAGTGTAGTGTGAGGTTAGTTCTTACAGTTCTTATGTTGTTATAATTGAAATATTTTAATTGTAAATTTTAACATCACTATGCAAATTATAAAATTTCATAAATAAAGTATTGCTTCTAATATTTTGTGGAAATATTTTTCATACCTTACCAGTATCAAAATTTATTTACCTCTTTATGTTTTTGCGTGTCAAAAGTAAATATATTTTGCTTTTAATTTTTTTGGACCAAAAATGTATAATGAGATATTTTTGATACAAAATTTTACTCAATAGGAAGTACTTTTTTTAGTGACTATTTTGAAATCATAAAAATCTGTTTTTGTGTTATAACGTTGTTTTTAAAAAAAATTCTACATGAGGCTAGTTTTAACAATATCATGAAGGCAAGTTGTTACAGTATATTTATCACCCATAAAAAATTGCTTTATTTAATAAATTTAATAAAATTGGTACAATTTACTTCATTTTAATTGGATAAATATAATAATGCTTCTGTTACGAATATGGACTGTATTTTCTTATAACGAGAAGTAGACTACTTAGGTCGATTAACTCTAAATTAATAAAACGAATTTTTGCTGTATATGTGTTATCCACTTAACCACTCTTTTCCTATTCCACTGAATTATTACTTTATTTTATATTTTATAATAGATTTATTTAATGTAATATTTAATGCTCTCTTTGTCTAATTTCAATTGAGCATCTACCACCGCTAGCAATCGTACTTCCTAGATACTTAAATTGTTGAACCTTCTCAATTAAGTTATTATCTATTTCCAACCTCACTAAAGGAACTTCTTTTGTTTTAGTCAACACCATTGTTTTTTTTTTATTTGCATTTATTTACATTTGATACTCCTGCAATATTTTAATGAGGGTGGTTAGAGATTTTTGCATGTCTTTTTCCGATTCAGACACTAAAGCAATATCATCTGCAAATCCTTGCTAACACAAAGTTAATTTGGTAACAATTAGTATCCCCTGGTGCTATTCATGTATAGCGTCTTCTTTTTGGTAATTCAAACATTGTGTTGGTAAGTAGATAATTGTTCTGCTTACAAAAATCGATTAATCTTTCACCTCAGATGTTTCTGGTTCCTAAGCCATGTTTGCCTATTATTTGATTTTCTTGTCCTTCTCCTACTACCGCATTGAAATCGCCCATGATAATTACATTATCGCTATCTCGAGTTATTCCTAGTAGTTCATCAAGAGAATCATACACTTGTTCGATTTCGTCGTCTTCACTATTCGAGGTTGGAAGTATACCTGGATGTAACTATCATGTTTACTGTAGATGTCTTCAATTTTATTAGTAATATTCTATCATTCACATGATAGGTATTTTCTACTTGCAGTCCCCATTCTTTGTTTAATAGTATTCCAACAACGTTTTTCCCTTGTTTATCTCCACTATGTATCATTCGAAAATTATCACTCCAGAAATCTCCGTTGTCACCCCATCTAGTTTCACACACTCCTAAAATATCAAGCTGTTTAAGAGTCATTTGTTGTTTAAATTCTTCAAATTTTCCTGGTCTTAACAACGTTCTCACATTCCTATTTTAGTTGGAATAGTTTTGTTTTTGATTTTATTTTCAATGTTTTGTTTTTTGCTTTGGCATGGATTTCGCTGGCTGACGACCTGGGAAACGATGCTCTGTCTACCCCTGCTAATTCCGGGTTCCGAATCCCATCATCTCGTTGTATATCATTCCTATGGTTATCTTTCATTGCTTGATGTTTGGGAATATTAATGCAGTAGTTTCCCGTTGCATTCTGCATCGCAATGTCATCTCTTATTACTAAGGGATGCTATTCAAGTATATGTAAATATATACTTGATACTAACAATGTTTGCTGCCCATTGTTAGGTCCATTTTGGTCGACTTTTACGACGGGCATGGACTGCACCATACCATGATTCATCGTTGAAAGAAATCGGTTCGGTGAGAGCTGAGAAAAAGTGGTAACATACATACAAAAAAAAACACATCATAAGAAAACTAATACCTTCTCAGCTTCGCATCGTAGCTAAAAAAAATATGTATACGTAGAAATATTTAAACAACCTATTGCGAATTTGAATAATCTAATTTAGTGTAACTATATAACATAATTCGTTATTAAACAATTATCGGTACTTGTGCTGGACAGATTGATTGATGCTTACATTATATGAGTTTCAATGCAAATCTGAGAAGATATTAATTTTAATATAATATTTTAAGCGTCTGTCAACACAAAGTTTCACCTTTTACAAGATCAAGTACGCTTAACAAAAAAAATTACAAATAGTATTAACTTGACTTTTGAACTCCTCAAAATATATTACCACTTGACTTATTACAACTTAAATCGATTTGATTTAAAATTATCAACGACGGAAAAGGGGTATACGTCTCGTAGTACCTAATTATCATATAAATGAGCTGGATATTATTCAATGTGCGTGAAACCAATATCATTAGAACAGATAATTTATGGAAATTTTTTCGATTTTCGAGGGTAATGTCTTTGACTAGATACGATTTGTGATCTTTTGACATATTGTTCATCAAAATCGGTCCAGCGAGAGCTGAGATTGAGCGTTCACAGACACAAAAAAAAAAAAATAAAAAAAAAACACATCATAGTAAAACCAATACCTTCTCAGCTTCCAATCGAAGCTAAAAAAATATCTTTAACATAAATAATTTAATTTTTTTTTGTAACGTTTAGTTTAGATGTTTCCGCAATAAACCGTTACTTGATAAAGAAGCCTATTTTCATAAAAAACCACAATTAAGATGAAACAATACATTAAGTAAAATTTCAATCGAGTACTAATAGTCCTGAGAAATGTAAATGATTCAAACATTCCTGGTAATTTAAGTTAATCACAATACATTTTATTTATTATATATATATATATATATATATATATATATATATANTCTGCGGGGATTCGAAACGTCGGCACGAGCGCAGTTTTCCTAGCTTGGGGAATCGGGCGCGTCCTCAGGTTGCGGATAGAGGAACGGCCTGCCGATATGCAGGTTAGCTCCGAAATAAGCAGTCCATTCGTTTGGACGGACGTATATAGTATTCTAAAATACCAAGTTCTTAAATTTTTAGCTTCGTTGCGAAACTGAGAAAATATTAGTTTTACATAATGTGATTATTTATTTACTTATATATTTATTTTTGTACATGTCACAATATTTATAGATATCGTTAGTGATTTTTTAAACAATTGTTTTGCGAACATTAAACATTGCTAAAAAAATCATTACTACAGAATTTCACATATTTCAAAATATTGGCAAAATTTAAAAAAAAATCGAATACTTATGAATGGTTACTAAATTTTTGTAAAATATTTCTAAATAAGATTGTTTTATTATTATTATAATCCTATTTCAGCAAAATTTAACCAGTTTTCTATTATGAATATTACTATTACAAATATATTTATCTGAAATTGAACATATTTTATCTTACATTATTTTATATTTTTATCATTCTATATTTATTTAACGTACAAATTATTTTAGTGAGATAATAATAGAAGATCTTTTAAATTTTTACTATAAGTGCATTTATCTATATAATATTATATTCATTTATGTCATAAATAAATAAGTTTTAATAATACTGTTTGAACAAAATATATTTACAATTTGGTTAAAACAACAATTTCAATACAATACTAAAATCATTTTTAAACTGGGTTATTAAAATTATGAACCAGAAAAATATCTTTTAATAAGAACCATTCTACAAACTAAAAATAAAACATATTTAATAACAATATATGTAGCATTTAAAAGAAAAACAAATTGCTTAAACATTAAATTAAGAGTCTTGTTAAAGACATTATTACAAAAAACCAAAAAAAAAAAAAATTTTATTAGATTATCTAATAGATATTAATTATTAGATTGTTTATGTTTTGAACCAATTGATTTATTTCCTTTTCTAGGTCTACTTTTTCTGTTTTTTAACATTGATTCCCAATTTTCTCTAACTAACATGTATAATTGTAAAGTAGCTTTTGCATCTTGAACAGAACTGTGTTCACCTTCTTGTATGTTAACTCCAAGGAAATGTGAAGTAAGTCGTTTTAAACTTGGAATACGACCATCTGTTAATTGCTTGAACTCCCAGTAAGTTGAAGTGTCTCTAATCATTCGTTTGGGATGTGAGATTTTCAGTACCCTAAAATCATTCACAAGAGCATGACCAACTAATAGTTTCCCTTTTAATATCTCCGAAACATCATTTTTTACTTTGGAAAATAATTCACCATTCTCAATATCTTGAGGACGAACTCCACTGACAGCAGTACGGTAATTAGTAATTTCTTTTGTTGGTTTAACAAAATTATCATAAATTGTTACACCTTCAGAATTAACTATAGAAACTCTAGCTAACATATTTCCTTTACCATCAGAATTTATTCCAACCATTTCACAATCAATTGCTACGACTTCAATTTTTTCTTTTTCTTGTTTCTATAATAAATAAATAAAATAAATTAATATAAATAACATTTAAAAAATTTTACTTCAGAGAAATAAATTTTAATATAATTCAAATATAATAATCCTGAATATTGTCATTCAAAGCATCAATAATTCAAATGTTCAGACAGTTACTTTATTTTTGTTTAAAAGTAAATTTATCAGGAATAATTTTTACCTATACAGACGGTATGATACCATTTTTAAATGTTAATTGTTAGCTCCATTAGCATTTTTATAAACCAGTTTTAAATAATATATAATATAATATAAATATATAATTCCTTAATATATTAGCTTCGATGCGAAGCTTAGAAGGTATTAATTTTACCATAATCTGTTTATTTATTTATTTTTTTTTTTTTGTGTCTGTCACTACTTTTTCTCAGCTCTCACTGGACCGATTTCTTTCATCAATACGTCAAAAGATCACAAATCGTATCTAGTTGAAAAAATTACCCTTAAAAATTGAAAAATTTTCCCTCGTTCCCCGTAAAAGGGGAAAACATCCAAAAAAATTACAAATTTAAAAATCGGTAAATTTTGACATTTTTTTCACTTTTTTTTCTTAAAACTTCCATAACTTTTTGAAAAATAATCAAATCAACATAATTTTTTTTATACTAAAACCTTAGGTATTTACCTTTCATTTGGTATCATTTTTTTTGAAAATCTATCACTTAACCTGCTCATTAGGGGGGATTTAAAATAGCAATTTTTTTACAAAAATTAACTTTTTCAACTTAATTTTTGAAAATTTTCCGGAAATACTGCGTCCTTCAAACATATATCAAATTAAAGCTTATTTTATGTACTATAAAATGAAAAAAAAAAATTTGTCCCGACACTTTTTCTTCTACATTTAAACGGCTGCCGCAGTTAAAAAAACGCTATTTTTGCGTTAAAATTTTCGATTTTCGATTTTTAATTTTCAACTTAAAAATGCTATAACTTTTTGAAAAATGTATGTATCAGCACAATTTTTTTTTCTAAATACATTATAAGTACATCTTTCATTTGACATACTTTTTATTAAAATTAGACTTAAAATCAAGACTTAGCAAGAAGGGAGTGTTTAAATTTTCTACAAAAAAATTCTGTTATAAATAAAGGGGGTTTAGGAAAAAATGAAAAACATTCACGACTCATAAAAGACTTAAAAAATAAAAACTGTTTTTATTTAAAGGCAGATAAGGGGAATTCTGTTGTAATACTAAAAAAAGAAGATTATTATGAAAGAGTATCAAGAATGATTCAAGAGGGTCCTTATAAAGAAATTAAAAAGAATCCATTAAGTAAAATGATAAGGGAGGCTACAAACGTCATAAATAGTTCAAAATTAATAATCGAAGAAAAGTTCAGGTTTTTCATTAAAATTTCAAACCCTCAAATACCTAAACTATATGCTTTGCCAAAAATACATAAGCCAGGAAGTACTATGAGACCTATTGTGTCGAATATTAATGCTCCGACTTACAATTTGGCTAAACACCTAGTAAGGGTATTTTCATCTTTCAAAAAATTCGATAGTTTTTCAGTTAAAAATAATATTGATTTAGTTAAACAATTATCTAGTTATACCATTCAAAATAATGACAGGTTAATTTCTTTTGACGTAGTTGCCTTATTTCCGAATATTCCAATAAATATAACAATTGATTTTCTTAAAGACTGGCTAAAGGACCAAAACATTGAACAGGATAAAATAAATGAGCTTATTAATTTAACAAAGTTATGTATGAGTCAAAATGTTTTTCAGTTTCAAAATAAATTTTATGAGCAAACTGAGGGCACAGCAATGGGAAATCCGCTATCACCATTTTTAGCAGAACTTTTCATGAGTAGGTTTGAAACAAATTTAAAATACACTTATGGTGATTTTCCAAAAATTTGGGTTAGGTATGTCGATGATATTTTTGCAGTTATAAATAAAGATTTTAATATGGGGGTTTTCATACAACATTTAAATTCTTTTTACCCATCGATTAAATTTACATATGAACAAGAAATAGAGGGAAAATTGCCTTTTTTGGATTTATTAGTTAAAAGAACAGAGGGGGAACTAAATTTTGAAATTTATCGGAAAAACACACACACGTTCAGATACATTCCGAACACATCGAACCACACCTGGCAACACAAATTGTCAGCTTTTAATAGTATGGTTTACAGATTAATTAATATTCCGATGAATAAAATAGATTATGATAAAGAATTGGTGGTTATAAAAGAAATAGCTAAATTTAATGGGTATAACGAAAACATAATTTTGAAATTAGTCCGAAAACAAAAGTGGAAAAAAGAAAGGAGGGCAGCTAGTACACTCTCCAGCGAGGGGGAACAAAAAGTAATTAGATCACCAATTTTATTTTATCCGGGCATCTCAAATGGATTAACTAAAATATTTAAGAATTTTGGTATTACTTTGGTAACATCTAAGAGTAATAATTTAAGAGATTTATTAGGTAACCCTAAAGATAAGGTAGATGAAGGGGGGAAATCAGGCATTTATAAAATACAATGTGAAAGTTGTAATAAATGTTACGTAGGACAAACAAAAAGAAATATAGGGGTCAGGTTTAAAGAGCACTTAAGAAATATTAAAAATCAAGAAATTGAGAAATCTCCAGTGGCCGAACATTTATTGACACATAATCACTCTATTAAAACCATAAAACTAATTAAAAACGTAAATAATTACAAAGAACTTAATATCAGAGAAGCAATAGAAATGTTTAAAAATAAAAACAATTTAATTAATTGGGATCTTGGCCCACTGAAAAATTCATTATTAAACTTGTGTAAACTGGCAAAATGTGATAATATTACTTAGTGATAACGTCACTAGGTGATAAGGTCACTAGGGGTATATAAGGGAGTTTTTTCTAGTCGGGGTGTCAGTATGTGTTTAGCGTTGATAATGGTAACATTGTTTCCGAAATACGTATCCGCGACTTTTCATTAATTTTTTTGTGGCTTTTGAGTTTAATATTTTTAATATTTTTTAGTTTTTTTTTAAATTAATAATATTTTTAATATAGTTTTAATTTTACTTACAAAAGTAAATAATTTTATTTTGTATATTTAGTAATTCTTTAAATCTATTTGTGTGTGCTACTACCAGTCTATAATATTCCATATTTTTTTGTAATATGTTGCTATATAAATCATAAATTTAAAAAAAAAAATGATTTTTAGTTTCACCTGAATTTAACGATGGATTTTTACAATTATAATCAAATTTTAATATACGCTCAATTGAGTAAATCTTTTTAACAACTTTGTTTTGTTTGGTTCATTCAGTTAAAGTTCTGAATATTTCCATTGTAGAATATTTTTAAACACCAAAAGTTATTAGGAAATGATTATTATTATTTCTATTTCAGTTATCTATTACAATAAAAATGCAAAAAAATCGAATTTTTCTGAAAAATGTACTGCAAATAGTAATTATAAAATTTCCTGATTGCATAATTATCTTAACAATTTCATTTTTTTCTATTTAATAATATTAATTTCAAACTTGTCAGTTGAGCTAAAAGTTATGGTAATAAATTCATTTTTTTTTTTTTTATTATAAACATTCACTTTAAAGAACGAAATAAAGAAGGTTAAAAATTATTACTTTTAACATATTAAAAATCAATATCAATAATAATTTGAAAACAATTCAATATAAAAATTATATAATATATAATTAAAAGAATTACTAATCTGGGTATAATTAAGGAAATAGATTGATGTTGCTTGTAATTATCCATCATTTTTTTAGAATTAAACACTATCTACAGATTTGCATCGAAGCGTTTCTTATGATAGTGATTTTAATCACTGTCAGATTAAATCTATACTGGACCCAACTATGCAACGTCCCCACTATGCCGCGACCCCACTGTGCTGGGTTGTTTTTTGTTTGGTAATATTAAATAGTTATAGTAATCACCACGTGTTAAGCATTACTATTGTGTATCTAAGTAAAAACTATTTTATTTGATAAAATGCAAGACCGCTCATCATTAACGTATAGTGATAACATTGTGTTCATGGGATGGAAAGTTTTAATGAAAACATAACTTTAAACGTGTAATGAGTATTAGAATCGCCAAAAAGGCAATTGAATTAAAACAGGAATTTTTCATCTATTTTTAAGTATTATAGTTTATTAATTATTATATTAATAAATTTTCAAAAAATACTTTGTTTTTCTATATTTTACATCTTCTCATAAAACCATTGTACTTATATCCCGAAAGAAAATTATATTATATCATTTTATTCAATAATTACATTGTAACTCAGTTATTCTCATGCTTATACAAGACCAACCAATAACTAATTTTTATACATAATTTTAAACATAGAAAAATATCATTTTACATTCATTTTTTTGATTTACTATAGTATAAAAAAAGATGTCCCAAGCTACTTAATAATAGTAATTTATGTATAAAATAATAATAATTACAGATATTACCTTTGAATCATTTTTTTTGGAGCTTGACGACCCAGTTGAAAACGTAGGTATGAGAATAAAACACACAAAAAAAAGGAATATTCCAAAAGAAAAATAGAAATTCATTTTTATTAATGATAATATGAGTTAGTTAAACGTAAAAAATTATTTTTATTATTGAATTAATTTAGTTTATATAGAACAATTCAGTCTATTTTGATATATCTAAAATGTGGTAAAACAAATTAATCAATTGTCTTATTTACATTATATATGACATATACTTTACATTAATAATAAGTATTTATATATTATCACAGGAAAATATTACTTACTCATTCTCGAATAAAATAAAATATAGTATGAAAATATTAATTTTATTAAAATAAATACAGATACTAATTTAAAATGTAATCAAGTGTATAATTTATCATTGTAATATTTCTCATTGTCAAACAGTATAAGATTTTGTACAAAAATTAGTATATCACGATGAGTAATACAAAAGAAAATAGAATAGTGATAAAAGGGGTTTGGGTATTTTAACCAAGGTTGGATATTTGGGGATTCGGTCAATTTGTGATGAACTGAATATTCTAAGTCCAAGTTCGATCACGCGGATAAGTATTGTCAGAAAGAGTCAAAATAATAACAATTATAATGTAACATTTACTGATTGAACACTAAACACCGAGTCAGTGATCAGGTCCCTTTTTATTAGGAATAATTAACAATTAATGATATAATTAACACTACTACACTTTCTAAATGCTATAGTTTCTAATAATTATAATTTTTCTTACTTACTAGTTATTAATAATATAAATTCCTTAAAACTAATGTGATGGTGTCACGTTACCGTTATTGTGAGAGTAATTTTAATAAAATACAGACAGCACATCCGCTTCCCGAGACTGATGAATTAACAAATAATATTTATTGCCAAATGGCAATAGTTCTAATTATTATAAAAACCCAATAGACCTGACCATCGTGGTCAGTCGACTCCAGTGCCTTGTGTCATTCATCAGCCTCAGTACTCGGTTGTCGCTGTCCGGCTTACTGTTTAAAGTAAAGTCTTTGTTTATTCCTTTTTAAACCTATCTACTCTCTCCCACAACATTTCAGAGTATTTGTGTCTTGCACTTCGTCTGTACCGCATACCTAGGTGCTACCCTTATTCCCTTCCTATAACAACAGCCTTTCGACACCCTCAGCTAACCCGGAGTGTTAGCCGAGCACGGTGACTGCTGTACGACAACACGCACGTGAATACCTAGACAGCAGGCACCACATCCTCATCTTTACCTTCGTACACATAACCATTTACATATACTCCTTTCGTTTTATTGTGTTACGACACTAATATTTATATAATAATTATGAGTTCATAACACCATCACCCTTAAAGAGAAATAATATCTGAAGATATTATTTCTTACAAAAATAGAGCATATTATATTTTTACTTAAGGTACAGATATTTATGTTAAATTTTCTTATAATCTTTGTCTAAATCTAGTGTCATACATAATTCTTTCTGGTTTATTTACAGTATGATTTTCGGTTATGTTTAAAGGTTCTATTTCTAACGTGGGTTGGTTTCTGACGGGTTTTTTTTACAATATTTTACATATATATACATGTATATACAACAGTTATAACAATTAGTAACCCGAAAGTTTTAAAAAGTAAATTTACTATAAATTTGTTATTATCGTAAAATCATAAACGTGTTTATGGCTTAATAAATCGACGATACGCTCTTGGTACGATAATTATTCGTTTAAATTATTTAGGGCTGCTTGATTGAGCTTAACATTTTCCAGTTTTTCAAGATGTATTGGTTTTTGTGCAATTCTATTATATATATAGTTGCAACAACTTGAATTTAATAGGCTAAACTCTCTAGGAATCGACTCAAATTTCGATTCCAATTGAGTTTGGGTAGCCTCAAGAGTAACTGATGGTGTTTTCGCCATACAGTTCTCTTTCAAAGATATCCTTCCACTTTTATTCAAGACTATTTTTTCGACTATGGTATGTGAGTTACATGTTATAGTTACGACTGTGCCTTTTATCAATTGTTTGGAAAGTAAGAGTTGTACCAACTTTCTGAGTTAAACTGTGGAATATGGACATCACAAGTCGATGGCAGGATATATTTATTATTTAATATGTTTGTTTTGCATGTAGGGACTATATCTGTACCGGAAAAGAACGCGTCGGTTTTACAAACAAATACATCATATAATAATTGACAATTACTAAGGCTGTCAAACTTTATATAGTGTGATATTAAATTATCCGTAAAAAGATATTTGACATTTTTTCTAAGATGAATAAATTGGTTTTGATTATCGAAAGGAATAAATATTGGTACAATATGATAAATAATGTAATTATTAATACTACTTAACGGTAACTTAATTTTAAAAATTTCGTTAACGTTAATAAGGTTTACATTTATTGGTATTTGATGGTTGTTTGGTATTTTAGTTAAAATATGATTTATCTCGTTTAAAAATTGTTCTGGTTTTATTATTATAGGATGTTATTGGATCCTTTGAGAATAAATAATGGCTAAAATTAATTTACTTATGGTTTTCTCTAAAGATATAATATTGTTTTCAACTAAGGATTGAGTAATTTCAACATTTTCAAAATCTACCGAATCAGCTGTAATATTTTGTAAGTCAGATATGGACTGCGAGATTTTCGCTAAATTGTCATAGAATATTTTTTTATTGTCATTTAACGAATTAACATACTCATTAAAGTTAGAAACTGTACTTTTTATTATAGAAACTTGGTCGTAAACTATCCTAAAAATATCTTTATCATCAATATCAAGTTTATTAATCATATTGTCATATCGTTTGATGTCGTCAGCGTCAACGTTACCAAAAAGCCATTTAATAGCACTTTCTGCTCCTTCCCAAGATCTCCTTACTCTATGATAAAGAGTTAAGTATTTAATATCGTTTATTTGAATCCTAACGTTATCAGCCATACTCTCAAGAATTTTATAATTTTTTAGAGTTAAAGTATTCTTATTGCTTATAGTTCCTACGTTTGCTAACATACTACTTATGTCTATAATTTTATTTTCTAACGATTTTATATTTATATAAGATGTAAATGTCCAGTAATTGTTGTAGATTTTAGCTTTTCCAAGTTTTTCGTATTGTATTCCGGGGCTTTTACTTAAATCTATAATTTTGTAATTAGCTATTTCTGGGGTTTGTGAAGCCGTACACTCCATCGCCCTAAAAGAAAATGTTTAATTGTAAGATGAAGCTAAAAAATGTTCACGTAAATTTAATGCACATTTATATTTATTGATATTAATAGAGTTAGTTTCTTTAGAAAAATATTTTCTCAATCAGGCAGTATGTACTAGAGCTCTGCATGGTCCGAATTTTCAAGAACCGGACCGAACCGTACTGAAAAACTAAAAAAAATACCGGACTGAACTATTATATGAAATTTAAATTGGACCAGACCGGATAGAAATTTTAAATGAACCGAACCGAACCGGATTATTAAATAAAAAAACTCTGCCCAGACAAAATTAAACCAGATATGGGTCATTCCATGTGAAATCACCTAATGGTGTGTGCTGGTATAGTTCCGAAATTTATGAAATTTATATCATAGACTTCTTAAAGGTTATTGACAACAAAAATAATATATATTTTTTTTTATTATTGTTTTTTTACTAGATAGTGCATTTTTTTTAATTAAAAACATGAAAAGACAGCCTATGTTCTAGAGCCTATAACTTCACATCCAAATAAGCTATCACTGTGGAACTAGCACTGTTTTACTCATATTAAATAGTACTTCAATTTCATTCTTAAGTTTATAAATTTTGAATTTTTATGAACATCGAAATTTTTTATTTAAATTTTTTAAATTTTGCAGTATTTTAATAGCAAAATTTGAAGGTCAAAAAATTTTTTAATTAAAATTTTTTTTTCTTTTCAGAAACTTTTAGTAATTTTCTTTTAACACATATCATATTTGAATCGATTTATAATTTTTTTTGTATCGTTTTACGGTCTTGAACATGCGCGGTTTGCTGAAAATAGCCAACTTTATCATCTCATTACACAAAAGTGACTGAACGAATTTTTTTCAAATTTACATAGTACTTTCCTTTAGGCAATTAAAACGTCTGATGAAAATTTTATGATGGAGAAATAATTTTAACGCTACTTATAGAATTTACAAAATTTACAATTTGCGTATTATGGAAAATCCACAAACTACGTAATTTTCAACACTCAATTTTAATTTCTTGTATTTATTCTGCGTTCTGTAGTATATTAAGTTATTGGGACTCATAAAAAAATCCTAGGAGCAATGGCTAAGTTCGGAAAAGCTCCATTACTTTTCTTCATAAAGTTAATTACATCAATGGATATTGTTGATTCTTCGACTACGTTTTGACAAATTAAGAATTTTTCAAATAAATATACGCACAAATATCTTTTTCATCTTCAGATTGAAGATGTAATACCAAGTCCATATTATGAATATGTTGAAACTTTCATGGATTGTCATATTATTTGAAAAGCTTGAGGATTTATCCATGTTTGCATTGTTTTGGTGCACAATTCCATTAAACTATGTAGTTATTCGTCTAACCATTGTTGTTCTTTTATGATATTCAGTGTGTCCTGTACTGGTACCTTTGTGAATAACGAGACTACGTTGAAGCTGACCAGAATGTCTCCGTCTTCCCAGTTGGTTTGTTGCAATTTTTCCACAGAATCAGTCGAGTTTTTTCATAGGAAGATGTTTTTCCAGTGTAGGTTTTCAAAATTTGTGCTAAGTGACCTTCCAGGTTGTATGGTTAAATAGCAAACATGGATAAATCCTCAAACTTTTCAAATACCAAGTCAATATATTTAGATCTAATAATTTTTTGTTTTTAAGAACTAACCGATTGTTGTATAACTTTGTATTTTATTGTATTTGATTATAATTAGATATGATGTAAACAGATATAAAACTTATATTTTATTTTCGTGTAGAATGAATGCAAAAAATTAAATGTTGAAAATTACGTAGTTTGTGGATTTTCCATAATACGCAAATTGTAAATTTTGTAAATTCTATGAGTAGCGTTAAAATTATTTCTCCATCATAAAATT